GCTGAGGCTGCTGCTACACTGGTCGTTTTCTCCTGCATTTGTTGTTGCGTTTGTGATAGAAGAGCCAGATCATCTGCGAAGTTCAGATCGTCAAGTTGCATCCTGCCTGTCCACTGTATCCCGTGCTTTCCTCCAGTCGTTGACGTCTTCATGATCCAGTCGATTACTAGAAGAAAGAGAAACGGTGAGAGTAAGTAACCTTGCCTAACATCAGTCTTTACTTCAAACGAGTCGTTGAGTTGTCCTACGTGTACGATTTGTCAGTTTAGTCCATCATAGGAGTTCCGTAGTGTCGAAGAAGCCTCCATAGTGCCGTCCTGTCCACGCTATCAAATGCCTTCTCGTAGTCGATGAAGTTGATGTAGAGTGATGAATTCCATTCGATTGATTGTTCCACAATGATACGTAGAGTTGCGATTTGATCTGTGCACGATCTATCCTTACGAAATCCAGCTTGTTGATCTCGAAGTTGAGCGTCCACGGAATCCTTCATCCTGTTTAACAATACCCTGTTGAAGACTTTCCCTGACTTTCTTTTGTATCTTGATCAGAAGTCCTTTTTTCCAGTCTGTTGGTACTTGTTCTTCATCCCAAATCTTACTGAAGAGGATGTGGAGTATCTTGGCAGTTGCTGTTACATTTGCTTTCAGTGCCTCTGCCGGGATGTTGTCTGGTCCCGCTGCTTTGCCACTCTTGACTTGTCTGATGGCCATGCTGATCTCTTTAATTGTTGATGGGCCAATATCGATTGGGAGGTCCGTGGGTGCTGCTTCGATGTTGGGTTGGTTCAGTGGAGCTGGTCGATTTAAGAGTTCTTTAAAGTGTTCTACCCACCTGTTTCGTTGTTCTTCAATGTCGGTGATTACTTTGCCTTCCTTGTTTTTCACTGGTCTTTCTGGTTTACGGTAATTTCCAGCAAGTTTCTTTGTTGTATCATACAGTTGTCTCATGTTTCCCTCTCTTGCAGTCTTTTCCGCTGTCATCGCTAAATCTTCCACATATTTACGTTTGTCGGTTCTGATGCTCCTCTTTACTTGCTTGTTTGCCTCTGTGTATTCGGCTTGTGCCTTGGCTTTTTCCGCTCTGGTTCGGCTGATATTGATTGCTGCCTTCTTGTTCCTTCTTTCTTCAATTTTATCCAGTGTACCAACAGTGATCCATTCCTTGTGATGGTGCTTCTTTTGGCCCAGAACCTCTTGTAATGTTGAAACGATTGCCTCCCTGATACCTTTACAGTTGCTCTCCATGGTAGTCCCCTCTCCATTGAGTAGATCATGAAAGGCCTGGAACCTGTTGCTGAGGGCTATGTTGAATTTGTTGAGTTTGTCAGCATCTTGAAGAAAGGCCGTATTAAACTTTTGTGATGTTGTCCGCACCGTTGTCCAGTGCTTCTTGAGTTTTAGTTTCGTCTTGGCGACCAGCAAATGATGATCGGATGCTATATCAGCTCCTCTTCTGGTTCTCACATCCTCTATCGTCCTCCTGAACATTTTGTTGATGTAGATATGGTCGATTTGATTCTGTGTAGTGTGATCCGGTGAAATCCAAGTGTCTTTGTGTATGTTTTTGTGTGAGAATATGGTACCACCTATGACCAGTTTATTGAGGGCACATTGGTTTGCAAATCTCTCACTATTTTCGTTCCTTTCTCCTAGTCCATGTTGTCCTATGATGTATTCGTATCCAGTGTTGTCCTTACCAACCTTGGCATTGAAATCTCCCATCAGAATGGTCAGGTCCTTGGTCGGGCACTTCTCGAAGATCGACTGCAACCTGTCGTAGAATTGGTCTTTGGCGTCTTCATCGTAGTCATTGGTAGGCGCATAGCATTGGATGACGTTCATTGTAATGCCCTATCTCTTTGTTTTGAAGGAGGCTTTGATGATCCATAGTCCATGAGATTCCCATCCAATAAGTACATTTTGTGCTTTTCTGGACAGCATTAATGCAACTCCTTGTGTATGTGGGGCATTTTCTTCTTCATGACCGTAGTATAACAGAAGTTCTCCTGAAGACAGTCGTTGTTGTCCAACCTGCGTCCAATGCGTTTCACTGATTCCAAGCACCTCCAGGTTGTATTTTCTCATTTCTGCAGCAATTTGGAAGACTCTTCCGGTCTCCCACATTGTTCGGACATTCCATGTACCTATAAAAATTGTCGCTCCGGTTGTAAGAAGGTGCATCGGCCTCATGACTTCAAAAGGAACTCGGCTTTCATCATGAGACGTCATAATTATTCCTTCTACTCCCAGGGCAGAGTTTGAATGGTTTGAATGATTTTTTCTGCTTAGCGTTTTTTTAGCGAGTTGATTTTCTACGGGATGGGGTCGCTAATCCCATGCCCAACCCTCCTCCTTTGTGTGGGCTTGGGACCGGCAGCAACCCCCAGAGGAGCTACAGGCGGAGTTAATCAGCTATACGTTCGTTATTTATTCTTACTGTTGTATGATACCGCACCGTTAGCAATGAGGTCTTATTTGGTTAAACTCAATGTCACGATGTGTAACGGCTGGTCATTATTGCTTTATGACTACCTGGTGAAGACGTTTAGTTTTTCTTCGATGCCTTGGAGATAGGAATATATCCATATATTTTGGAGGTGTTTGTGTTGATTCCCAGTACGTTATTATTTGCCAGAGAAATGCTTGACTGTACAGTGAGGGAAGTAATTCCAAGAAGGGTGTAGATTATTCATAAAATTTGTGATTTGATTTAATTATGGGATACAAATTACCCAGCGAAGCTGTGTACTTTAGGAAGGAGAACGTTGTTTCTTGAGTTACTTTCTACGTCCAGGCGAAGTATTTGAGATTGGTCGTCATAATATGAAGCTAAGAGATCAAACACTCGTACGCAGGAATGAAAGAGATGTGATACAGTAAAATCTTTACTTAGCTGTCTGCTTGAAAACCTATTTAAGTTAACAGAACAAAAGTATGCATATGTTGTACTGTAGCTGTAAATAAATCCCCAAAATCAATAGCTCTTCAAGTGTTCGACATTGGATGCTGCCCACATTGTTTTAAGTGAACTTGTTTAACTGAAGGCGTTCGATAATGCATCCGCACCAGATCACGTTACGACCCAGCGTGGGAAACAGCTCCTACGTTCATTAGCCAGATTAGAGCAAACGCTTCTCGATATATTGATAACGAATCAAATTTATCTTTCCAATCTATTCGCATCTGACTTCTGATTTTAACCGATTGGGGGACGCTTTGAATATAGAAGGTGTTACTGGTTAGTGGTTGTAAAAATAGAATACTGGTCGTATCTTCAGTACAAAAGGATCTAGGCACAAGTACAACAAAGACTGATGGAGTAAAACCAGCTTATCGAAGTAATAAACCACTATATTTAGTATTTAATCGTTTATAGGACCAATGGATAGCAATGGAAAATTTCCACACATTGTCCGACATATCATATGGCTGTAGACGGCAATGTGGGCCATTAAAGCTTGAGCTGCCGCTAAATGTTAAGAGCTCACAATCTGCATTCTAAAATTCATTCATTTCTTTTACAAATCTCTGCATAGAACAAAAGTCGTTTACGACGCCTTAAGTCATCATTCTTAAAAAAAAACCAGTGGCATTAGAATAATAGTAGGTTTAATCTGTATCTTAGTCTCTTCAAATCTGCTTTTCGTATTCGTTGCTCGTTTGAGTTGCCGTCAATGAAATCTACCCAAGAAAGAAGTAACGCTGCAGAAGGGACAAGCCGAAAAACAAGCAAGGATCTTTTTGTCACAGCTAATGATACGTACAGGCTAGATTTTCACCGATAAAATACTTTAGGACGACATAATAGAGATGTGAGGTAGAATTCAACTAGACAGCTAGAAAGCTGTCAAAATGGTACAAAATATGAAAGTTGCTCCCCTTATCATAAGATTTTAGGTAAGGCGAAGGCTTTGACAGAATCATTATTGACGTCTCCATAAGTAATGCATAAAACTACCCCATTGAAAGAAACCAGTAGATATATGAATATGTGGGCTGCTTCTTCTGTATCAAGTCATTTATCTCAGCAGCCAAACGGTCACGAAGTCGAATATGTAGTTAGTCTACAGAACAGTATCTAAATACTTGAGATTGTAGCTGTGGAATAAATGATATGGTCCTCTGATTTTAAACGTGCCTTGACAAATAAAAAAGATTATTCAGCAATCATTTACGTTTATCCTGAGATACACAATACATTACGACTCAGAATGTATAGAATCGCGTTACTCCAATATGATGGAGAGTTTACTGATCATGATTGAAAGCCATAAACAGTCATATTTATTTTTCCACTGAATGTCATCAGTGAAAAAATATTAGAATCTCGTGATCTCTTACAATCTAAGATCACACCCCTACGTTTCGAAAGCAACGTTCATGTTAACGCTGCAATATTAACTTTTAATATATTTTTAGCCAGTTTGATAATCGGCGTTTTTATCCAGTTTTGGATAGTTTCATTCTGCTTTGACTAGAGTATACAAGCATAGTTTCCTTCTCCTAACCCTAAAAAGAAAAGAAACACATTGGAGTCCATTCAAAGATAAGGTACAAAATAAAATTTTGGTTTGGAGTTTGCGTGCTAAGTGGAACCCCTGAAAACTCTTGATGTATGCCAGTTATACTAGATGAGTTTGAGCAGTAACCTTAACACAATGTATGACATAAAAACACATGGCGATCATTTGGTCACTTAATTAGGTTCAAAGCTTTGGGGAATGGGTAAACTCAGGTTGGAAACCCAAAGCTCCAGCTTCTGCTCATTAGTAGTTATGAATTTTCATGATTCCCTATATCTGAAGTCGTTTACGCAAATCCCCAGTTTTCTTTAGTTGAAGAGTTGATATTTCATTATTAATTCACAATAACGTTCCCTTCACATTTCCTAAAACCCATTTTATTACTTCCCGTTAGAAGGTGTCAGTGATCCGTTTTTATCAGTCAAGGAAGTATGTTGAGATGATTCTTTTATTCTATTTGTGTTTATTGAGAACCATTTCAAACTCGTTTGATGTAGGCCTCTTACATACTTTCAGGACGTGCTACGCTCATTGAGACTCATAGGAACATTTCAGAACAATTTTTGCAATATACAGTTTGAATTTTGAAGAATTCATAAGAAGAGTTCGTTTGTTTAGCCGACACGAGTATAAGTTACAAATATTTTGGGCGGGTCATCTGTCGTCGTCCATATGATGGAAGTTCAGCGTAAGGGCCTACGGCTTTTAAATACGTTCGAACCTGTAGAGCCAAAGAAAGTACGGGTCACTTCATACAGTATTATGGTTTAGACACAGCTCTCAGTTGAGAAAAAGCCCGGATTGATACATACCAAACCTTTTGTTAAGAAACCCATTGTTAACAAATCTGCTGTCAACAAAGTTGCCCCATTTATTATTTTTCAAGACCCTGTTGAAGTTCACTGCCAGCATTGTGGTGCTCTGTGGTCTAAAAGCCAGAAAGATCTGAGTCCTAATCCTTCAAAAGAGTATAAGGAAACTGCTTCCCAAGTAGAAGACGTAGACCTTAATGCTTGGCTGTGCTCAGGTAACATTCTGTTAAATGTCCTTAAGTATCAGAGCATCCACCTGAAAATTATTGGGAAACCATTGCGGAACAAAGGCGAGTGGCTTTAAAGGAAACCTTGGATGAAAATATGGAGGTATGATGGAATCATCAATGCTTATATTTATAGCTGTGTGCACTCGTTGAAAAACTGAACCTTGAAATTGAAAGACTAAGTGCTATCGCTTCACATGCTGATCACTTTGCCTCAGTGTACAACGTAAGTGGCTGGTTTATTATTTGATAATTTCATAATGTATATGAGACTAAAAATCATCGAGATTGAGGAAGCGTTGGTGCCTGGTCGAATATTGAGCTAATGAAGTAGTTTTCAGATGTTTTTTTTTCCAGAGTGGTTCCTCGTACCAATTATGCGTGTCTTCAATGTTTTACAGTCCCTTTTGATCCCTAATCAGCCTGGCGCAATTACTTTACAGTTGTCAAGTCTTGTTTTTCAGTTTTACTAGGCACTCAATCAAATGCATCTTCAGATCTGACACATGTACATTAGTGTCAGTGACCACAACCCACTTAGACAGCTATGCGAAATTGTTAGAACAAATCTCAGAGTAGTAGAATTAACGGTAATGACGGTTGTAGAAAAGATTAGGGGGTGAACCTAAGTTTCGAGAAAATATAAAGTATTGAAATCTGAAAAAAATTTGTAATTTAAAAGATTAGGATTTAAGGTGAGGCAATAAGCCCACCTTTGCCAACGTGGACAGCTTTATGCTATGTCACTCAAAGTCTTTCCATTGGTCACGATGATCACCCGGACCCAAACCAGGTAATCCGCACCTAATAACATGGCTCATTGCAATAGTCAGTGTCTTCGTAAGCTAGAGCTCTGTATCGGTCTGGCTACCCCCAGCTTTCTTTCAACCTACACCAGCTATCACTGAGCGTCGAGGTAGTCGGTAGCTGCGTGATACGTTACCTTATTATCTTAGTTGATAAAGGTTCACTACCTCCAACCAATTTGCTATACTTACCTAGTACTTAGCATCTAACTGGATAATCCTAAAGTATGCGAGCAATACTCTTAAGACGCACGACCAATCACTGGCAACCTAGGCGTAGCATCTGTTCTTAAGGGTCATGTCTTACGGAGCAGGCTGGTACACTATAGACTTGTCTGTTGGTGGGTAGACATTGCGCTCGTGTCAGAAGTGGCTCAAGTTTCCGAAAGCCAGCCGGGCTTTCTATACTGGTTTCACGATCCTGTCAAACCTTAACAAACTTGGGCTGATGAGACTCCCAAGATAAGTGGTCGATTACTTCGCTCTCGATCATCAGTTCAGGCGTCAATTTCGATCGTTTAGCGGATGAAAAACTCATTCCAAACCTGCTCAAGTTTGTGTAGAAAATCCAAGGCGTTGTTATGGTTTCTTGTCCCTGAATTTTAACGCTTAACACTGCATTAACGTACGCTGATTTCAGTGTTCCGGGGAACTCGGTTTGTGATGGTTTCATCAATCTAAAAGCATGACCATTAAGTATAAACTGTAAATGTGTAAAAAGTGTTGCTCAGTCTTTTCGGTATATTATGATCAAACTCATACCCTGGAAATAATTTCTCGTCACTTTACTTATTTTCTGGTTTACTTTTAGCAGATGTTCAAAGAGCAAGAAGCACACAATAACCACTCCACAGAGCCTCAGGATTCCAGCTGTAAACTTGACTCAGCACAAATGACGTGAATATCTCATACCAGGCTTTATGTACTAAGTCTAAAGATTTAAACTTTAAATTTTGTGATTACTTTTGTACTTATGTGTAATTTCATAATACTAATAGATATGTTATTAATGTCTTCCACTGTGATGATTCCATGTGGATTGTTCTCCGTTTTTTTGCCTCACAAGACATAATCATTGGAATGCTCAGGGCATTTGATCAAGTCTGTTTTATTTAATTATCATCGTTCGTATATTGCGTTAGCATATATGTTCAGAATCAAACAGGTCTATGTTGCCTAGACGAAATATCAGTTTGTGAACATGTTTAGTATCTTATATTACAAAAAAATCTGGGGACGTTTTCTGTTCTCTCCACTTACTAAATATTAAGACAGTTTAAGCCAATAAATGGGATTCGTAACTCACTCCGTCAACTTCATTTTGGAACACGCGTCATCAGCCCTCACACAAACTGTGCTCCTACAATGAGTGCATAAGGTCCGTTGTTGGTTAGTCACTTTAACTCACTTTTCACGTGGAGTTACCGCACTTACTTACTTACGCCTGTTACTCCCAATGGAGCATAGGCCGCCCTCCAACCCACTCTGTCATAGGCCTTGCTTTCTAGTTCTATCCAAGTTTTGTTCATTCTTCTCATGTCTGTCTCCATTTCTCGGCGTAATGTGTTCTTTGGTCTTCCTCTTTTCCTCTGGCCTTCAGGATTCCATGTGAGGGTCTGTCTTGTGACGCAGTTGGGTGATTTCCTCAAAGTGTGTCCTACAGATTTCCATCGCTTCTTCCTTCTGAAGTCTGGTTTGTTCTCTCCCACAGTAGAATGTTGCTGATAGTGTCTGGCCAACAGATACGAAGTATCTTGCGTAGACAACTGTTAATAAAGACATGTATCTTCTTGATGATGGCTTTCGTAGTTCTCCACGTCTCCGCCCCATACAGTAGAACGGTTTTGACATTTGTATTGAAAATTCTGATGTTGGTATTGGTTGACAATTGTTTTGAGTTCCAAATGTTCTTCAGTTGTAAATATGCTGCTCTTGCTTTGCCGATCCTCGCCCTCACATCTGCATCTGATCCACCGTGTTCATCAATGATGCTGCGCAGATATGTAAAGGTTTCCACATCCTCCAAAGCTTCTCCGTCATTTGTAATTTGATTGGTGCATGTTGTATTATATCGGAGAGTCTTGCTTTTCTCTCTTTTTATATTGAGACCTACTGCTGCTGAGGCTGCTGCTACACTGATCGTTTTCTCCTGCATTTGTTGTTGCGTTTGTGATATAAGAGCCAGATCATCTGCGAAGTCTAAATCGTCCAGCTGCATCCTACCTGTCCACTGGAGTTATCGTACCTTAGACAGAATTTACTGGTAACTCATGTAAGCATCTGTTTAGGTGAGACGTACATGCGGCAACGCCAACCTTACATATGAGTCAGTATTTAGTTGGAATAAAAGTCAGTTCATAGGTTGCTAACATCCTTTTAGATGTTTTCCCGCAATTTGGCAACACAGTGAATTTATCAAAATACTGGTTGGTGCAGGAATGATTCATGAGAACCCTGTCTTGAAACCCAGTTAGCTCACCACTTAGACAAAAGTGCGTTTAATATAATAAATACAGTCCTTTTTTCGTAGATGGGGCTTACTTTCTTAAAGTAGGTATCTCCCGTTGTTTATTTTTGAGTGATAACGTGAGCAAAGCTATATGCGTAATGTAATGGACCGTTGGACAGATATATAACGGCTAAAAATGTATTTACATACATCCTCGATAAGTTATCACCCAGTAAGAAACAACTATCGGTCGTAAGTGGTTAACGGTGGGTGTAATGCCTGGCATGAATGCGTATAGGTTGAAGTTAATACTTTGAAAAGCTACTCATAGGGATATGGTTCAAGAATGTGCAAAGTAATGTATGACACCGAACTCGAAATTTAGATAAGAGAAAGAAATGGACGTGATTACACGGGTCAGGTTAAATTTTGGTCCCTTCATCCAGAGTATCCAAACATAGTTTTAATTAAGAAGTCTCCACATGGCTTAGGCGAGCATCCAAAAATGTTCTGTCCTAATATCACGTGTTAGTTTGTCCTCTCTTCTTTCTTCCAACTTTGCTAGCTGCTATTGAATATCAGGTTAAGCAGTGGTTAAAAGTGCTTAGCATTTGTAATAACCACTTTTACTTATGAAGGTTTATCACCTCCAACCGACCTGTCATTTTCACATTACGCCTCGCCTCCACATTGGTCAGTTGAAGTTTCACCGTATACGCGCTGTGCTTCAAAGGATTCTCAGAGTTCACTCATGTATCCTGCTTCCATGGACCACATTTCGTAACTAGGGGAACATAGGCTGCTATACAGTGTTTTCTGTCTTTGTTCGTTCGATAGGACAAACAGGCTTCTTACGTCCGAGCCATGATTCAATTAAACATCAGACTTCCATGGTTGATGAGGCTGCTAAGTGGAGTGATTAACACTCTCTACTACTTCAATTTGTATAATGAATTTAGGCTTGACGCTGATAAGTTCTAAGAGGGTGTTTTTCGTATATGAGCAAGAGATGCAGTGAGTCCGAATTAGATCAGTTTTATTTCAGTATAAAGTTTTTAGTACGTTTGCTCAGTCTAATTGTCAATGACTTTGTAGACCGGCGCGACGCCTTTGTTTGGTTACCTCTATCTTTCTCCCGGCCTGTACCAGATAACATCGCTCGTCGATGGGGGTAGGCGGTGATATGTAGTACATGTCCCAATCACCTCAGTCGGCAAAGAATTTGGGTTTTGAGGATACCGCATACATCGATGACACGTAATTCTAAAGTTTTGGTTCTTGAAGGTTATCATTCGGTCCTATCCAGGCTCTGATGTGTACTTAAAATTGAGGTTCTAGGAGATCGGTGAGAACATTTTTTCTCGAATCATTTTAGTTTTTTATGTATGTTGGACAACATAAAGTGAAGGAAGGGGTTTATAATAGAATAGAAAAAGTATAGGTGTGGGTATATTTTATCTGAGTGCTGATAGATGTATACGCTGATTATCACTTTCCAGTTGCCTTTAACTTGGAAGGCTTTCTTTTTGCGGAAAATAGAATGAAATTTAAGGTGGTACTGACCTCAGAGAGTGATAACTTGATCCATTTGGACAGTATCGCCTACTGAGAAGAGTTTATAGCACATGTAGTAACTTCGTTTCTTGCATGAAATCCAGTATCATTTTTGGTTGTTTAAGCTGACTGTGCTCTACCAGTTAAGATCTTTAATAAACGAAATGACTTGATATAACCAGTAGTTATATTTGTCATGGAGTGTTTTTAGATAGAAATTGTTAGTTAAAAAGGTCAATAAGGTTTCGAATCCCAATTAACGTACTTCTATTTGAATCACTCGTCAATATATTATTAACTCTTACATAAATGATTTGGTTCCAAGTGGACTATTTATATTTGCTGAGTTATAGTGTTATTAATTGTTTATGTCTATGTTCATAAGTAATATTTATGTGAAATAAACTATATCTCTGATCAATACAATAAGAATTACGAAGTTTGAGCAACCGTTCACCAATTGTCTTCAGTGAGTTGTTATCTCACAACAGACCTGGTTGAACTCCACTGGTCACTGCTTTCCACTAGAACTCCAGGATATGTATCTTGAAGTCAGTCACTAGTGAGCATATGATTATAATCAGAAGGGGGGTTTTGTGGAGATTTCAGTATTTTTCATAGTTGAAATCATGAGTCAATTCAAGCTAGACCGCCATGAAAAGCCTGGAAGCACTGGACGGCCGTTTCGTCCTATCATGGACTCCTCAGCAGTGCGCATCTATTATCCTGCACTCGTGAGATTCGAACCCAGGGCCTACCACTCTCGCGCCAGTTAGAAGAAGAATCAATTGTTAAACAATGAACTATTTATTCTATCGAAATGTTCATTATTTTTTTCTTTTATTCAATAGAATAATGAATTATTATCTGGTGGTTAAGCGCTCGCTTGCGAGACTGATAGGTCCTTGGTTCGAATCTTTCGAGGTGGGATCGTGGGTGCGCACTGCTGAGGAGTCCCATAATAGGACGAAACGGCCTTAAAGCAGTGCTTGCAGGTTTTCCATGGTGGTCTAGCTTCAATTAACTCATGATTTCAACTATGAAAAATACTGAAATTTCCACAAAGCCCCTTCTCATTACAATAGGAATTATTTTAAATGTAGTTCAAATTTAAATCCGCATGTCAACAAACATTAATATATTTACATTTGTAGTTACTTTATTTAAAATTAAAATGATCAAAATGTGATTGTGAAAAAAATAGAGGTTGAAAAAAAGAACAAACAAACATCAAATTGACAGCAAAATATATATCATTCTCTTGATTTAGATTATTTTAAACAAAACGCCAGTATCAATGATTTACATAACAAATTAAATTCATTAGTTACAGTATCCCAGTTGGTTGTTAATTCAGTGGGAATCAAAGGTGATATTTTGAATTTCTTCGAGACTTTCTTCTGATAGAATGATAATCCTGGTGTTGTTGTTGTTGTTGATGGATTGAAGGGAGTTCTCGTGTAATTAAAAAGTTTTTATTATCATTATTACTACTAATAAACTTATTAAAGTAGTTTAATCCAGAATCACTAGATTTACATCGTGTATTGATTGATCTATTTATTTGTAATAATGTTGAATCTCTGTTGTTAACATTATCATTATTATCTTCAGCATAATACTTAATACCATAATTATTCAATCCACTAGTTGATTCATTTCGATTTGATTTATTATTTGTTGTACTGAATTCATTATCTGATTCATTTGTATCTTCATTACTTTGTTCATCATCTTGTTGAATAGTTTGTTGCCAATAATTTTCTAAAAAACTTTTTCGTCTAGCTGCATGACTATCAACTTTAAGATCAATATCCTTTGTTTTGATGGATTTTTTATCTTTATCATATATTTTTGATTGTAATGGAGTTGTTATAGAAGATGGGATACTCATTGATTGTGATCGTTGAACACCTTCATCATCATAATAATTATTATTATTATTATCATCATCATCATCGCATAGATCACTTGTATTCTCATCACTACTATCAATAACTGGTCCTAATGAAGGTTGAAGTAATTGTGGATCAATAATATTAGTATCACTACCACGTGTACTTTTAAATAGATAATTTTTACCTTTAAGTGTTTTCATTTTTGATGATTTTGATAATAATTTATTATCAGTATATTCTTCATCTGATATTGATTTGGTTTGTTTTATAAAAGTTCTTTTTTTATTATTCATACAATGAAAATCTTCATAATCATTTCTTTCATCTAATGATAATGATTCTTTATAATGTTTTATTAAATTATAATCAGAATTATAAATATCTAATGATGATTTATTGATTAATTTATTGGTATTTAATGATTGCTGAATCCTATGCTTTGAATTATGATTGCCAATTATTGATTGATGTATCAATGAATCCCATCCATTTTGTATATTTCTCATATCTATCTGTGAACAACATGTTACATGTAGATTTGATTGATATGGGCAATGGATATAATTATCTTCATTATAATAATACTCATTATTATTATTATTATTATTATTATTATTATTATTATTATTAATCAATAATAAAGGGGAATGTGATGGTGTCAAATTTTGTTGTCCTGGTGATTGAAAGTAAGTTTGTGATAAAAATTTATTATGATTATATTGTATATTTGTACTGTTTCTATGGGAATAAAAATTTTGTAAATTATTTAATTTATTTGGTGATATATATATATCAGCTGATTTATGTCGATTATATTTTAAATTTAAATTTTGATATGATAATAAATTATTTGGCATTAATTGATTTAATTGGTTACTATTATTAGTATTGCTAATATTACTATTATTAGTAGTATTATTATTTGAATCATTGGATGATATCATTGGTATATTATTATTATTATTTCTTGTATGATCTATATAAAACTCTTGTAAATTATTTGTTACATTTAATATTGATGTTTGAATACCTGTTATATCTTCATCCATCATTGAAGCACGTCTTGATGCTGGACTAAATATTAAATCTGGCGGTATAAGTTTTTCTAATGGTTTTGTTTTACAATTATGCAATGATGAAGGATTTAATATCGTATTATCATTATAGTTAGTATTATTATTATTATTATTATTGGAAATGAGATCATTCGTAGGTAATATGTCATTAGTTAACTTTGATTTTAGTTCTTTTAATATAAATACAGAATTATTACTATTTGCTGAACCACGTCTTGATGATGAATCTGAATATGTCAATGGTAGATTATCTTTTACATTTAATAAAACTGTATTATTTCTAATAAAGTCCGGTATTGATTGTTGACAATGTATATTAGGATTTAATTCAAAACTATGTACTTTACGTGTAACTGGATGTGCATTATATGGCCATGGTGATAAATTAATACGTGATTGTTGTAAACTTTTAATATTTCTACTTTGATGAATAGTTTCTTCTAATGGATTAAGATTTTTTGGTGATTCTGTAGCAGAATAAGTATGATCTTGTGGAATAAAAAATTTATCTTTATATAGATTATGTGAACGATGATATTGTTGATTTTGTATTCCTGATATTAATTGTGTTGGTTCATGTGAATCAAGTGAACTACGAAAAAATTGTCTATGATTTAATGAATCCGGTGTTAAACTTGATGAATCAAATGCTGATGTTAATGATAATGTTGGTCCACTAAGAAAACCACCCCATTGAATAGGAAATGAACAAGTTGAATGTTGTAATGATCGACTATAAATAGCTGGAAGTTTACGAATAGCCGCTTGTTTTGATAATGGACTACGTTTTTGTGGACTAGATAATGAACGTTGATTATTTGGTGTAGAATAAACAATTTCCATACTATGTGATTGTCTACTTTGCCAAGCATCTAATGGTTTTAAATGACGTGAATATCGTCTTTCACCATACATACTTTGATGTGGTTGATGCGATACTACACTACAATCCATAGATAATGAAGGATCTAATATATGAGAATATTTTGATCCACGTCTATACAATTCATAATTTACATGTTGACCAGTATTATCAATTGATGTTTGGGGAGATTTTTTTAAATTTATTAATTTACGTAACGATTGTGATGTATTATTAGTGCTCATTGTTGCAGACATCATTTTATTTCTATTCTCATCTGATAATGTATGTGTTAAACGATATTTCTCTGGTAAAGATGTAACATTTGACGATCTAGACAATTTAACTTTCTCACTAAAACTATGTCTTTGATTACGATTTATTGTGCTAGATACTTGTTCTGTATTACGACTTGTGACGTTTACATGATAATAAGATAAAATATTATCATTAACATTATTTGTATTATACACAATTGGTTTATTATTATAAATGTCAGATTGATTACATTGATATACGTATTCTTCCTGTATGCGATCTGATTCCTTGGGTGAATTGATACGTTCATGTGATGTATGATTTATTAGTAAGGGATCATTATTGGTTATTAATGGTAATGTATGATCTATAAAATCATTATTTGTTTGATTACTATTACTACTACTATTAGTATTGATAGTAGTAAAGTTTCTATGTTTAGTAAAAGATGATTTTTGAGTAGATTTAGGATTAATACTATTTCTGTGATATGATTTATTATGATCAAATAAGGAGAAATTTATTTTTTCATCAGTCTTATTTGTATTAGTATTCATTATTTCTGGATGTTTCTCAAAAACAGATTCATAATAGTATGGTAAATATCCATCGATACTATCTCTAGTAATAGATGGAGGTTTGATTTGTGAACTATCTGTTGATATATTCAGACTTCTAAATGGTTTTTGAATAGATCGTTGACTATAGCTTGTAGTAGATAAACATTCATCACGATAACGTGAAACTGGTCCATCGAAACTATGTGGTTGTTGTGTAACTGTTTCTGGTGGTTCCCTTTGTCCTTCACCACTACTTACATGAGACATTTGAATTCTTCTTGTTCTGTTATTTCTTTTATTTAGAAAAAAACAATAGGAATTTCGAGGTGAATAACCAGTACATGTAGAAATTTCGTGAATAAGTATTAGAAACTGGATAAAACTAAGGATTCAGATTGCTATATTTGGCTGTATGGCCTTAATTCCTAAAAATACGTATTTTCAAAGTTCTATAAGTGATAAGTTGATAAATTCCATTATACATAAGATACAGATTTGAAATTTCCTATTGAGCATTCATAAACTTCTGAGCTTCCGAGTTTAATGGACTATACAGACACAGTCTGATTGTGTGATAAATCCTGTTAACTAAAATAAATTGTGATAGGTTTGTAGAAGATGATGAAGTGGGTAAGACATGTATTAAGTATGCCGAAATACTGCCTAACTCGATGAGCAGTGTTGTATTGTGTAGGAGGCGGTTGAGGTTAAGCTAGGGATTGCCAAACCAAAATATGTTATCAGTCTATAAAGTCATTGGCTAAGGAAATTAACTAAGTCATGTAAATCAATTCTTACAGCTTAGACGAGGTCTAGGTGATCATCATGATCTGTAATCGGGTACTTTGAATGATATGCTTCGGAAACGGTTGTAGTGATACGGATGTATTTGTTCTCTACTTTTTTCAGATCCTGAGTTACGAAATCAACACATTTTATTCCATGAATTGCTATTTTTCCTCAAATTATATTATTTTTGTCTAATATTTTCTACTACTGATACTGTTCCTACTTTACAATTCTAACGTCTCTTTAGTTTGACAACTTGAACTGATGTGCAAATTTACAAGGTTTCACGTTGAGTATAACTGACTGACTGTAGAGGGTGATATGAGAAACTTTTTGAAAATGCATCTAGTGATCTATTTTATGCAAAGGGAAAAACACAATTTAAACAAATATAAAATTATCAGAAGGGGGTTTTGTGGAGATTTTAGTAATTTTTTTTATAAAGTTGAGATCATGAGTCGATTGAAGCTAGACTACCATGGAAAACCTGGAAGCACTGATCATATGTTCACTAGTGACTGGCTCCATGAGATATTTCCTCAAATTCTAGTAAGAAGCAGTGACCAGTAGAGTTCAACCAGGTCTGTTAGGAGATATCAACTCACTGAAGACATTGGTGGATGTGCCGATGAATTTTGTGGATTGGTTGAAGTTAGACAGTAACACTGTTTGATGTCAGCTCAGTGGTCTATCGGTTAAGTGTTTGCGCGCGAGACTGGTAGGTCCTGGGTTCGAATCTCGCGAGTCGGGACTGTGGATGCGCACTGTTGAGAATTAATTTAATTTCCTTGTTTTCATCTTGTGATAAAAACTAAATATAAGTAAGGTCATAGATACAAAAAGAATTTTCTCGGTGTAAAAAAGCTGTATCGTTTTTGATGGAGTTTTTTCTCTGAGCTGGATGGTTTGTTCATGGAGCTTTCATCGTCATTCTGAACGACATTATGAAACGTCGGATAAAAGTGAAGTGTTTGAATTTCTCCACATGTGATTCACGGCTTGTCCTGTACAGCTTGACATCGGGTTGTGAGCAACAGAGAACAAAAATCCATCAAAATCATCCACCTGAGCTTCAAATCTTCTCGACCAGCTGTATTCTTTTTCAAATGAATGAAACACGAATAATAGAGATTTGTAGGATCTAATTTATTCATTTTATTTTCATGTTTTGTTATAATTTTCTCATATTACGACCCAGCTATTCCTACAACTAAGTATTCTTGGACGCTAATTCACTTGACAAGTCCCCAAATCAAAACACGGTTGAACAGGAACAAAATTATATTCCACTTAACAAGGCTAGATGGAAGTAAAAAGCACAATAGGAGATACGTTAGTGTATTTATAGTTTTTTACATGAGAAGATCCTAGGGTTTTCTCCAAGTATCGACTAGCGCTGATTGGATAAGAAATAGTCAATCAGCGTCCAGCAACACAATCATTCACGGAATATGCTATGATCGAATCTATGTCCCTGTAACATGCCTCTTATAAGCTCCAAATAATGTCAAGAAAATGTTTGACACACTTTAATTAGTAAAGAATTTAAGTTTTTGTGGAACTTTTATCATTGATTGACAATTATCTTTTTTTTTACCACTTTAACAGAAATTGTTAGGTCCGTTAGGGTGAATTTTGAATAGACATCGTTTATACTTCAGAAGAAAACCGTACTATTAAGATATTCTTTAATTGAGCTAGAATTTTTGTGCTCAAACAACGAGATAAAATAAAAGCTGGAAATCATCAAATAGATTAATATTCGAAGAAATTTATTATAAAATACAAAGAAGTATCTTGTAGGTCGAAAATCGCTGAGAAATGGAGACAGACATTAGAAGAATGAACAACAATTAGATTTAACTGGAAAGGCCCAGGACAGAGTGGGGTGGAGAATGCTGGTCGGCGGTTTATGCTCCATTGGGAGTAACAGGTGTAAGTAATGTAAGTAAATAAGTAAAATTGAAAGTAATCAGATATCAGTAAAAAGCTTATATTCTTCCGTCATGTATGTAAGGGAGATGACCTTTTAGGAAGAATTGTGAGCTGTACTGAATTATAGCTTACCTGAAACTCAACTGATTTCATTGCACTACATAAATCACTTATTATATTATTACCAAATAGATCAATATCCTTCTGGTAAAGAGAAGGATATCTACAAGATTTCTCAAACAAGTTCCTAGGATTCTATTTAAAAAAACACCAGATTTTAACAAGTGACATCGTTGGAAACCTAATAGATAGTGAACATAATATGAACACTTCTTAAAGATCAAAAAAATTATTAGGAAACAATAAGTGCGAAATCACTTAGTATTGTTTGTTTGAATCTTCTCATTGATGTTTAGGACTGCAAATGATCAGTCTCTAACTGACATATGTGCATACTGTGCGTATTGCCTCTATATAACCTTAATTCACAAGCATTGTAAGCAAAGATAGATAGTGGCTAACAGTGGAATCCAGTTTGACCCGCGCCTCGTCCTATTTGGGACTCGTTAGCTGCATGTACCTGCATCTCAGAATCGTTGATGTTCACTCTAGGACTCGAACCTAGTACCGTTCACTTCAAATGCCATCGCGTTACTTGTTACTTGTTAATGCTGAATACTACTATCATATATCTTCTATTTGTATAGAACATATTAACTTCATTCATTAAAATAGATTAAATGTTTGTTTCTAGTCATACTACAAATCATTTTGTTATTGTTTTTTTAGTTATCACAGGAAATTTTCTAGATTGAATAACGCCTACTTCTTTATCTTTTTTCTTCTTTCAACTTTTGTAAGTTACTTTGAACCATTTATATATTCAAGGAAGTTTTTTTGTCTCAAAATGATAAAAGGAACTATGTGTATAAATTTTTGTTTGTATTGATTATCGAAGCTTTTTAAGCTTTTCAGAAGGAGGTTTTGTGGAGATTTTAGTAATTTTATATAGTTGAATTAATTGAAGCTAGACCACCATGAAAAACCTGAAAGCACTGAATGGCCGTTTCTTCCTATTGTGGGACTCCTCAGCAATGCGCATCCACGATCCCGCCTCACGAGATTCGAACTCAAGACCTATCGGTCTCGTGTGCGAACGCCTAACCTTTAGACCACTGAGCTGGCCGGCATCCAACAGTGTTGATGTCTAACTTCAACCAATCCACAAAATTCATCGGCACATCCACCAATGTCTTCAGTGAGTTGATATCTCCCAACAGACCTAGTTGAATTCCACTGGTTACTGCTTCTCACTAGAACTCGAGGAAATACCTCTTGAAGCTAGTCACTAGTGAGCATATGATCATTATCAGAAGAGGGTTTTGTTGAGATTTTAGTAATTTTGTATAGTTGAGATCATGAGTTATTTGAGGAGTCCCACAATAGAACGAAACAGCCTTTCAGTACTTCGAGCTTTTCCATAGTGGTCTAGCTTCAATTGACTCATGATCTCAACTATATTTATAAGCTTTTGTTTTATGAATGATAATTTTTAAATTTTGATCATGCAATTTGAAGACAAAGTTTATCAGAATTATGTGATGATATATTAGCGCAATACATTTCCAATCAATCTGATCACACCTAATATACTTGTTAAGACATTTTTATATCATAGTTAAAAGCGTGAGTCAATTGAAGCTAGACCATCATGGAAAACCTGGAAACACTGGACGGCCGTTTCGTCCTATTATGGGACTCCTCAGCAGTGCGCATCCACGAACCCGCTCTCGCGAGCGAGATTCGAACCCAGGACCTACCAGTCTCGAGCCGAAGCTCTTAACCGACATTTTTATATGAAAATTAAAAGGTCAACTAGACAGGTTAAGTTCAGAAAATAAATAAAGTACACAAAAACAATGTGATGACTACTCTGGATAATAAATCAGTATTACCAGGGTAGAATAAGGGTAAGAACAAATTGTTTTTGGAACGCATTAAGGGGGTTTCAATTTCCCTATAGCCAATGCTTCCATAAACCTTAGTATACGTCCTTGAAGGCTTTTGTACAACACTACAAATGCTGACTTGATGTCAACCTTATGAACAGTTCCAACCAAATGTTTCTGAATGGAGGAAGAAGTTTGTCTATCCTGTGATCTTATTTGACCATTGGAATTCATTTGTTTCTGAAGCCATTTAGGTATGCGTCCCGCCACCTATAATTGCAGATCACGATTGCTCCTCCCTATGTACGTGTTACCGCACATACATGTAAATTGATATACACAATGGAATGTGATACAATCGCTTATGTGCTGTTTAAGTTTTTGGTGAAACATCGACCTTGTCTTTTCAATGATGACAAGTTGAGCTGCATAGAATGTCCTGTTTATGGCTAAGTTTAGTCTCCGTCTCAACATGAGACTATTATAGTCACTCCTAAATGGTAATGTAATATAAACTCGCTTTCTGGGTACCAGAAGCGTCATAGGTCTAATCGTATTGCAACCCTTCCAGCGGTTTATGAACTTAAATGAATAACCATTATTCATTAACGTATTAGTTAAAAGCTTCGTTTCTACTTCAATAGTATCACTAGTACAAATACGATTGATTATTTTGAATAAATCCTTAATTAAACCACGTTTGTTATGAATTGGGCAGTGACTATGGAAATTAAGGTATTGCCCCGTTCGTGTCGGCTTTCTATATATAGAACGTTGGATGGAACCATCTTCTCTTCCACTGATCAGTAAATCTAGAAAAGGAAGTTGGTTGTTCTTCTCTTCTTCGCACGTAAGAGAAATATGCTTCTGACTTGTATTGAGTTCTTTTAACAAGCGGTTCACATCTTCACATTTATCCCCTATGATTATGATATCATCAACGTATCGTCTATACAGACACATCTTTTGGATTGAGTTTTCAGCTAAATTTTCAACATACCCCATGAACACATCCGCCAGCAACGGTCCTAAAGGACTACCCATAGCTACGCCATCGATTTGTCGAAAGTGCTCACCTTCAAAAGTGAATTTCACATTGTCAGTGCATAATAATAATAGATTTTTAAGAGTTTCAACAGGAAATGGCAATGGAAGATTATTAAGTGAAATATAGTCACATAAAATATCAATAGTTTTTCTCAGGGGTACATTTGTAAATAAAGAGTTCACATCAAAAGAGCACATTGTCTTTGTTTTTATATTCATGTCCTTTAAGTATTTAATTAATTCAAATGAGTCAATCAAGGAATACTTACAACATTGATTTCGGATAGGATTTAATACTTTTGTAAGCCATTTCACAAGTTTGTGTGTAGGTGACCGACACATTGATAGAATTGGACGTAAAGGGATATTAGGCTTATGTATTTTTGGCAATCCATATAAATGAGGATACACCGAACCCATAGGTTTTAATAAATGAAACTCATCCTTGTTTATAGCGTTCATGTTTAACAATTTTGTTAGATTGGAGTTTACTTTCTTTTCTAATTTATGTAGTCCATCAGATTCAACATCAGCCATGAATTTGCTATTATCACTGAGAATCAATTCCATTTTATTTATGTAATCGGACTTATTCATAATAACAACACCAGATCCTTTATCAGGTTTAAGTATAATAATATCGGCATTATTTCGCAATTCTTTTAATGATTTGAAGTGCTGAGAAGTTAATATGCTTCTCTGTTTAGGTTCAAAAGAGTGAAACTGATGCGCTATATCCACTAATTTAGCTTTAAGTCGACTTTGATTCTCTAAAGATGAAGGGGATACATTACTCAATTGATCATAGGGGTTTTCGAATTGGGCGTTGATTATCAATTAAGAAATTTGTGTAATAGGGACAGAAAAGTTGAAACCCAGAGAAAGTGCCTCCTTTTCATGAACGGACAATACAATAGAGGATAAATTTGTGACATATTTATCAGGATTAATTGGGAAGGATGTGAGATTATTATTATTGTTACAGAAAGATTTTTCCAGCTTTTTTCTGATCCCTTCTTTCGTTTTCAAAGTGACAGTACTACAGAAATTGATGAATTTGATATGGTAAACTATAGACAATTCTGCTAACACAGGTAATGCTTGAGTATGCAGTTCAATTAAATTAATCAACTTATTATGGTATTTGTCTATAAAGGATTTTGTCAGTCGAATAAGATTTGGAATATTTGGTTGTAATTTACTTGAACAAAGATTCTTACATAAATGATTCGGGAAAATGTGATTTCACAAACAAGATTTATAAAATTCCAGTTTGACTCGTTCCGATATAATTTTGCACTTACGGTTAACAAGTTCATCTAACCTTTTTATAATTTGTGTAGGCAGTCTTCTTTTCAAGAATTTAAAACAATTAATCCCTTTGATAAATTTCAAGTTGATCTTTTAATTTTCATATAAAAATGTAGATCAGAGGGGGTTTTGTGGAGAATTTAGTATTTTCACAGTTGAAATCATGAGTCAATTGAAGCTAGACCACCATCGATGGTGGTAGAGATATCATCTCACTGAAGACAATTGGTGAACGGTCGCTCAATATCGTGGATTGGTTGAAGTTAGACATTAACACCGTTGGATGCCAGCTCAGTGGTCTATCGATTAAGGGCTTCGGCTCGAGACTGGTAGGTCCTGGGTTCGAATCTCGCTCGCGAGAGCGGGTTCGTGGATGCGCACTGCTGAGGAGTCCCATAATAGGACGAAACGGCCGTCCAGTGTTTCCAGGTTTTCCATGATGGTCTAGCTTCAATTGACTCACGCTTTTAACTATGATATAAAAATGTCTCAACAAGTATAATAGGTGTGATCAGATTGATTCGAAATGTATTGCGCTAATATTGCACTATCACATAATTCTGATAAACTTTGTCTTCTCATTGCATTATCGAAAATTATCAAAGGGACTAATTGTTTTATAGGATGATAGTTTTTAAAAAAAATAGTGATTACTTTAATTAACACCTATGCATCATGAAAATACATCGGGAAAATGCAAACTATTTCATTAGAAGAGATGGATTTTATTTTAAAGTAGTTGTTTATTCTCTTTTTAAAATACTTATTCATGATGTAGTATGAAATTGTTATTAAAGATTACAAACGTTAAAATAACTCATAGTGTCATTGAATAAGAAAAAGAGAATTCAGCAAAGAAAATTTTCTTTTCGACGAAATGCGGTGCTGTGAGGCATCGGCAATCCACGAACTCAAGCCTAAACATTGCGTGCAGAAACGATTTGTTCAACCTCTCACCTTTCCTTGGTCCTAATTCCTTTAATGGATATGTTTCTGGTTGTCGTTTTTTTGTTGTCTTTCCTGTACTTTTATTTGATTATTATCGGTTTTTTGTTTTTTAAATTACTATTATCGGAAGGGGGTTTTTGTGGAGATTTAGTATTTTCATATTTGAAATCATGAGTCAATTGAAGTTAGATCACCATGAAAAAACCTGGAAGCACTGGACGGCCAAATTGTCCTATTGTGGGTTAATCGCTCGTGCGCAAAACTGATAGATCCTGGGTTCAAATCTCACAAGAATGGGATCATGGATGAGCACTGTTGAAGAGTCCCACAATAGAACGAAACAGCTATTCAGTACTTTCAGGTTTTCCATGGTATTGTAGTTTCATTTGACTAATGATCTCAATTACTAAAATAAAATTGTTCATAACAAAAAAGAAATAATATTAAAACCTACAAAGCTTTTCCTTGTATTGTTCTAGTCACAGCTTCTTTTAACCATGATTCTAAATGTTTCTTTATAGGTTCTTGTTCTTGTGGTAAATCATTAATAAATAAATTAGAATGTATTAATGTATCATGAATTCGATTTGATGTATATAATTTAGATTGTAAATGATCATGGATTAAATGTTCTTTATTCAATATTCTATTTTTCATATTTTTATTATAATCAGTTTGTGAACTTGAACTTGTTCTTCGAGCTTTCACCCTTTTAAATTGAATACAATATTGACTTTCTAGGGAGGTTAGAAATAAACAAGTAAATATACAATTAGTTGAAAACTAGGTAATGGCTAATATCATGTATATCAAGTCTTTTTTTGTGATAATAATACTCAGATGACATAGTCCTGTTTTGATAAAGACGCTGACAAAATGCAGAGTCTTCTGTGCCTCCGAATGCCCTGGTACGGCCGAGAATGGGGAGGGCCTGCCCCCTCTCTTGAAATGCTCTATTACGGCCATGCGTGTACAGCCTCTTCCAGGGAAGTCCTACTCACTACTTTCTCTTGGTGGGAGTGTTGTTTACGAAATTGAGAGGACGAAGAGCAAATGTTCGGTGCTTTAACCAGGTTAGTGGACACAGAAAGTTTACCTAGGGGAGTTGGAAAACCCTCATTCCAAACCAATGGTGCACATGGGCTCCAGTATCCTGAAGGAACAAATGGTGTATGAATTAATCGTTGACCACTGGCTGCAACGGGATTGCATTTCTTCACGATGCCCCACTGCCTTGTGGTCTAGACCTTTAGGTCAAAAGGCTCCCGGTGTAGCCCTCTAAGAAAACCACCTGCTTCATTTTGGGCACCTGGACAGTATCATAGCCCTCACACACAAATCAAATGTGATTTGTGTTGCGCATATATATCTGATGCCTCTTTGTATCAATATTCATGTGTTTAAATAAATAAATAATTTGAGTCTTCTGTTAGAACTGGGTAGTAATGTCAGGATATTCGGAATGCGTTTCTTTCCCTCTAAATGTAAATTGTTACTCTAGGACTTGCCGACGTCAACATTTGAACTAAGGATAGGGAGTGAAGTAGTCGAACGCGTTGACAACTTCATTTATCTTCGAAGTCTGATCAGCCCTAATGGGTTGGTGTCTGACGAAATCTCTGCACGGATTGAAACATCTCGTTTGACTTTTGCCAACTTACGTCACCTATGCAAGGACGAGACGTCCATCTATCAATTAAAAGACGAGTTTGCTCTGTTCTACTTTACGGCTGTGAAACATGGCCATTCAGAGTAGAAGATACTTGTAAGTTACTAGTATTTGACCACAGATGTATTGGAAATATTGTTCACATCTGCTGGGATCACCGGGTAAGTAATAGTGAGTTTAGACACAAAGAATTTGAGAATGATAGTAGATCATTTGATGAGGTTGTGACTCAACATTAAGTGTACTATGTTGAGATGTAAGGTGGTGATTGGAGGTAGTCGATAGGTAACTCTGAACCTAATTTTTGTACTATTTGGTATTCGTCAGCAAGGTTTATTTGGAATCTCTAAGGGGGGGGGAACTGACACTCTCTGATGGGTTGAAATTCATGTCATTCAGTCCTATTGTGTGAATCCTCAGCAGTGCGTATCCACGATCCCACCTCACGAGATTCCAACACAGGATCTTTCAGTCTCGAGCGCGAGCACTTAATCTTTAGAACCATCAAGTCAGCGTTCAACGGTGTTAATGCCTAACTTTAACCAATCCGCGAAACTTAGCGACACGTTCACCATTGTCTTCAGTGAACTTCACTAGTCACTAATTCTCACTAGAACTCCAGGAAATATTAAATAAATAAAAATAACCTACTGTTACAAATATCATTTCTATTTATAATTAATTTACCAGGTATATCATTATAACCCAAATTATTACTATCATTATTATCACTGGTTACTGCTTCTCACTAGAACTCTGGGAAAATACCTCATAGAGCCAGTCGCTAGTGAGTATATTAGGGTTTTGTGGTGATTTCAATAATTTTATATAGTTGAGATCATGAATCAATTGATGAGTCCCATAATAGGACGAAACGGTCGTTCAGTGCTTCCAGATTTGAACTCAACACCTATTAGTCTCGCACTCGAGCATCTAACATTTAGAACCACTGATATGGCATCCACCGGTGCCAATGTCCACGGAATCGAACAACCGTCTACTACTGTCTTCAGTGAATTACTATCTCACAACAGACCTGATTGAACTCCACTGATAACTAGAACTCCAGGAAATATTAAATATATACATAAACTTACTGTTACAATTATTAAACCTATTTGTAATTTACTTACCAGGTATATCATTATAACCCAAATTATTACTATTATTATTATTACTATTATTATTATTATTATTATTATAGATTCGTGTAGAATTCGATAGAATTGTATTATTATTATTATTATTATTATTATTATATTGATCATTTATAATATAATTATCATATGGTTCATCTAATGTATCTTGGATTAAATTTCTTGAACGTGTCATATATGTTCTACGATTTATTGATTTTATTACATTATTATTATTATTATTATTATTAATGGTTTGTATATTATGATAAGATTTCACTTTAATTGAAGGATAATTACATGTTATTGGTTTAATGAATTGGGATTTATTCATTTTATCATTTATTGATGATAATGATGTTGATAAATAAGTAGTATGTATATCATGTAATTGATGATGATTATTATTAGTAGTATGTTTATTATTATTAATAATGGTATCATTATTTGATTGATAAGGTTGAATAGATTCTGTATTGGGTGTTATTAATTTAGATTTTTGTATTGGTAGATTATTATTATTATTATTATTATTATTATTATTATTATTAGTTTCAGATGATGAATTAGAAGTTAATCTGTAAAATAATAAAGATATTAATACAGTTTTTTTTTCTCCTATTTATAAAGTAAGAACAAATAATATAGTAGAATAATATAAATTTATTATATTTCTTGGTTTCTTATTAGTTGTTCTATAGCTCCTTTGAGAGCCACTGTCAGTCTCAAGCTCGCATCAGTCAGTCAGTTAGTCACAAAATAGAACTTCGTATGTACGTACATCAATTCAAGTTGTCATACCACATTAGCACAGAGATGTAGTTGTCGATTCAAATCCCATAGTGGTAGAAGTAGTAAGAGTATAAGCAGTAATCCGAATGATTAGGGTTTGAAGATATTATTCAAAAAGTATAATCCGGTAAAAAAAGGAACATTAAGAATTCAAAAGATTAGAATTTGGTAGAACACGAAGAGTGGATGCACCTTCGCCATTGCAAACGATTTTGAGTCATGTCATTCAAGGTCTCTAACCGTCGGTTGTTATCATCTCGCGGATGCCAACCAGGTAGTCTGCACCTACCAACATACCTCAGACCACATGTTAGTGACTTCATGGATTTGTGCCATGTTTCGGTTTGGCCGCCCTAGCTTTGTTCCAACCTACTCGTACACCATAGAACATTGCACGTCGGGGCAGTCGGTGGTTAGGCATATGTAACATGTGTCTCAGTCATCTCAACTGATCAAGTTTCTCTACTTCATCAATCAATTTGCCATCCTTGCGTAGTACCCGTTTCCTAACGACTGCATTACTTACTCGGTGATCCCATGCTTCGAAGACACCTATGATCGAATACTAGTAGCCTACGAATATCCCCTACCCTTATCGATCATGTTTCACTACCATAAAGTAGGACGGAAAGTACTGTTGCACAGTAAACCCGTCCTTTGGTTGCTAGACGGATATCTCACCTACGCCATAAATGACTCAAGTTGGCGAAAGCTAGACGAGCCTTCTGTATCCGTGCTGAGATTTCGTCACACACCAGACCACAAGTTCTGATGAGACTCCCAAGATAAGTGAAGCTGTCAACACGCTCAACTACTTCACTCCCTATCATTAATTCAGGTGTCGATGCAACCCAATCCTGAAGTAACACTTTGCACTTCGATTGGGGAGAATCGCATCCCGAACATGCCTGCGTAGTTACTTATGGTGGTTAGAAGACTCTGCATTTTGTCAGCATCTTCACCAAATAGAACTATGTCGTCGGCGTATTCTAAGTCAACAAGTGAGTTTTCCGGTAAAAGTTCAACTCCTGGAGATTTAGATGATGAAAGTGAAGGTTGGGTATGAGGTTAGCGACCACATCCCATAGAAAATTAACTCGCTAAATAAAAAAAACGCTTCCAGTCTAAACATAATAGTATTAATCTTGAAAAATCAGTGTATATTTTTTATATTATAACATTTTTTTTTAAAAGGTGACTTCCGGTAGAAAGCATATTCAAGGACCTTCAGATTTTACTATCAGCGTTATACAATTAAATTGAAAATCTAATCTGTGAATCCCATTTCCAGTATCAGTTATTTGCTATATAGTGTGATTATCATCTAAAATGTAACATACGCGATTCATGTCTATACTATGTTGTCCACTCCACCTGTAGCTCCTCCGGGGGCCAATACCGGTTTTAAGCCCAAGGATGGTTGGGAATGGGGTTAGCGACCCCATCCCGTAGAAAACTGACTCGCTAAAAAATACGCTAACCAGAAAAAAATATATACTTTAACAGATACTTCTAATTTTAGTATTGTGCCATATAAGTGAAATTACAATCAAGTATATTCACTGTTGAAATCATGAGTCAATTGAAGCTAGACCACCATCGAAAACCTGGAAGCACTGGACGGCCGTTTCGTCCTATAATTGGACTCCTCGGTAGTACGCATTCACGATCCCGCACTCGCGAGATTCGAACCCAGGACCTACCAGTCTCGAGCCAGAGTCCTTAACCGATAGACCACTGAGCCAGCATCCAAGAGTGTTTCCGATGGTGGTCTAGCTTCAATTGACTCATGATTTTAACAGTGAAAATACTAAATTCTCCACAAAACCCTCTCTGATCAATAAAACTATAATCAACTATAAATCAATTATACTTACCTTTCTCTAAGATTGATTTCTGGTTCTATATCCAATTCAGTAAATCCATTCGATTTTTGCCTTTGTAATGGTCTACGTTTAAATCTTGTATTCGTGCTATTACTTGGATCCTTTATAATAGTAATATGACAATCGTCGGTAATAGCAATATTATTATTATCTTCTGCTAGATAAGGTGTATCTGATGAATTGATATCATTCATTGACATTCTTGTAATAGGATTCATACTTTGAATAGAGTTAACTTTACTAAATTCATGACCATCATTTTCTTTATATGATATAGTTGGAGATTTATAAATATACGAGCTGATGTGTTTATTAACTGGTAAATTACTTCTTTGTTGACGATTTAATACTGTAGTCGGTGTAGATGTATGTGATCGATAACGTCTTGAAGGTCTAGTTGTATGAAGATTAGGAAAATAATTGGATAAATGAAAAAATAAACGTCTTAACCATGGATAACAAACATGTTCTTCAACAGTTGTTTTACTACGATTAAGTTGACGTTTAATACGTTCTTTATTAATGGTTCCATCACAATTACATATCCAATTAGTATATCTTTTATGTTTTGATGATTTTTGTGGAATTAATTCTTCTGGAGTGAATGTTTGCTGAAGAACTTTTAATGTTTCAAATTCTCTGAAGGTATTACAAAAGAATGAAAAACGAAACTATTTTTTTAGATCGTTTGAATGAATTAAAGTTTGTGAACTTAAGGTTATTTACTTGGTATTGTTTGTTTGAATCATCCCATCGATGTGTTAGTACTGCAACTGGTCAGTCTCTAATTGGCATATGTGCATACTGTGCGTATTGCCTCGATATAATCTTAATTCACAAGCATTGTAAGCAAAGATGGATAGTGGTTAGCAGTGGAGTCCCAGACGAGTCCTAAATAGGACGAAACACGCCTTGTCCTAGATTCCACTGCTAGTCACTATCCATCTGTGCTTAAGGTTATTTAGTCATAAAATACTCTCAAAATACTCAGTGAAAGTTTGTCATAAATAGCACATTTGAACTTCACATAATTCAGCATTGCTTCTTCTTTATGGTCAGTATTCAACTAAGCTAAAGCCAACTCAAACCTTTATAAATCAACATATAAATTTGAAATATAACAGTATTTAATAAAAAAGGAGGCCATTGGAAATAATATTGGGAAAACAAAGAATTTACCGTTTGATGGTAAACTCAAACCTTCATCTTATTAAGCAGAGATGGATAGTGGCTAGTAATGGAATCCAGGACGCGCGTTTCGTCCTATTTCGGACTCGTCAGCTGGATGTACCTGCATCTCAGAGTTGATGTTCACTCTGGGATTCGAACCCAGTACTTTTCGTATCAAACGCCATAGCGTTATCCATTCAGTTAGCTTGTGAATTAAGGCTATATCGAGGCAATATGCTCCGTATGCACATATGCCAACAAGAGACTGATCAGTTGCAGTCCTAACACATCGATCGGCAGATTCAAACAAACAATACTAAATGAATTTATTCATCTTATTAGTTCCAGGTTTCTCATGAAAAGTGTTAGTTTTTGATAAAGTTGGGGTCATTTTTAATGTAATGTTATATATTACTATCTTTATACTGATAACTATGACATGTTCACCAGTAAATAACTTCGAGAGTAAACATTAGTGAAAAGTCTTGATAGAAGGAATTCAGATGTATCAAATGTGATTTAATTATCTATGGAACACAATATAAGATGATCGAGCAATGTAGTGAATCGAATAAAGTTAAGCGCATGTAACATTGAATTTACTCTGAATGGTCTCTGAATTCAGTGTTTGTGCACAGGATCAAATATCTTGAGTTTGATCCTCCATGAAATTGTGGGTTCACACTGTTGAGAAATCTCATGCCAAAATGAAAAGGTTGTCCATTGTTTTCAGGTTTCAAGCAAATATCAAATTTAAGTTCGGTTCGTGATAACCATAACAATGATTAGTGAAAAAATTAAGAAAATTAAGGTTTGCTGATTTAAAATTGAATACATTAATCAATAGTAGAGATTAGGAGGTTTGTTCGATGTTATAAAAAGAAGTAGCATAGTATCATGTAAAATAGTAAAGTAACTATTTAATGCTTTGTGATTTCGGCTTATAGCTTAACCATAATATATCTCACATCACATGTTTCTTAAATGAATCACTACTAAGTCATAGTGTCCCTTGTAATACTGTCAAGGATAATTGATGAAAAACAGTTAAAGCTTATAATTCCTTATCAATCAAAACAACTGTAATATGAGAAAAAAAATAAACAGGGGATTGATCGGAAATTATTACTCAGGACAGAGTTGGATGGAGAATCTTGGTGAGCGGTCTATGTTCCTCTATTACGGGTAACAGGCGTAAGTAATTACTTATCTTAACGATTATTACTACTGTTATGTTCTTAACTATACGATTTCGCTAAATATGACTGCCAATTTAGATACGCTGACTTATAAGATCAAACTAATGACACATACACAAGTACGAGCAGCCCAGAGTTCTTATTAGTCTTTTTTCCGCTTAGCCCTACCTGTCACGTTCACAACATTAATCTCAGCCTCCGCTATACGAAACGTATTATTTAAACAAACTGGGTTTGTTATACAAACAAATCAGATCACATAATACCATAAAATAGAAACTAACATTTGTATAAGATTAAACCAAAAATTAGCTGTGATTGTGAAAGATGGTAATTCATTAATGGAGCATAATTTGGGAATAGTAAATCTATGAATCAAAATGAAGCTTATAATAGGAGGAATATGAATATACATAATCTAGTTACTTAACACTTCTACAATAAGAATTTTGATGTTGGTTTGTTCTCTGAGCTGGGTGGTTTGGTCGTGGAGCTTTCATCGTCCTTCTGAACGAAATCATCAGCACAAACTTCGGGTAGAAGAGAAGTGTCTGAATTTCTCCACATGTGATTCACAGCTTGTCCTCTGCACCTCGATGTTGATTGGTTCTTATTGACCTTAAATCTGTAATTGTTTATTTCTTTGTTTTGGTTGTATCTCCTATTGGTTTGATTTTTGCTCCTATCTTCCTGCATAATTTTCTTGATTGGTTGATAGATTGGATTGATTTCAATATGTTTGTTTATTGCTGATTGACTTGAGTGTATTAGTTCTCCACAGTTAGTGTTCATTCTTCTCATCGGGATATAACAACTATTATCATTTTATAATTTAGTATTATATAAAGTGACCAGTGTATTTGTGATTAATGAATGACTTCAATCAGTACCTGTTATTTGAGCATAAATTTACTAATAGTCTAACTATTAATCTGAATATAGAATATTTTCTCAATGTAGATCAATTTTAGTTTCGTTAAGATTCTAATAACTATCACTAATTGTCACATAGAATATCGAATGGAAAATGTGTTTTGTGAAGCTTTCATGTAAAAAAAATTCTGATAAGATCTATCAGAGACAGCCTTTCAAAGCCCTGGTACGTCCGAGAGTGGGGAGGGCCTGTAGTGCCGCAATTCGTTAATCGTTTACTTAGATGAGCGTTATAATTCTAATCTTAACGGTGCGTAAAATCAGAAGACAAAGGATAGCAACAACTACAGTTTATTGTCGAATGATTCAGGTTCGAAAGCTAACAACACCTGAGCGAATATGAACGAGTGAGTGAGCGGCAAGCGAGAGAGCGAGTGAACAGGCAAACAAGCGAAGGAAACGAACGAGGAACAAGCGAGCAAATAGCAAGCAATTACATAGGCAATTTATAGTCAAATTTAATAAGGGCACAGCAAAGCAAAACAGAGGCTGATAATAATATTTGTGTGCGTACATATATGGGGAGGAGTATGAGTCATCGAATGATATTTAAGCAGTCAACATTTCGGCTAGAGTGTCATGTGCTCTAGTGGTATAGCAGTGCAAAGAATATGCAAATTGTTACTATCCAAATGACGATGTCTGTTAAGTAAGTTATAAAAAAGGGCTTAACCGAAATTGGCTATAATCGAAATTGATTGTAGATGGTTGCTATAGGCCTTCCCTCTTTCTCGAAATGCTCTCACACCATCACGCGTGTACAGCCTCTGTCATGGAAGTTCTACTCACTGCCTTCTCGTGGCATTACTGTTATTTACGAAATGAAGAAGATGAAAAGTGAATATCCGACGCTTTACCCAAGTTGGTGTACATAGAAAGTTTACCTAGAAGAGTAGAAAAACCCTGATTCCAAACCAATAGTTTACATGGGCTCCGGTATCCTGAGGTAAAAAATGGCGTATGAATCAATCGTTGGTCACCGGCTACCATAGAATTACATCTCCTCACGATGCCCTACTGTCTTGTGAATCAGACCTTTAGGTTAAAGGCTTCGGGTGTGACTCCTCTAAGCAAACCACCTTCTTCGGTCTGTGGGCAGTATCACAGCCCATAAACAAATCAAATAAGATATATGTGGCATATATTTATCTGGTGCTCCTTTGTATCTATATTTATGTATTCAAATAAATAAATAATGAATACCAGAGACACGGAATTTGTTCCAATCATATATCTATTTAACATTTTCCTATTCATGTTATGTTATGAAAATGAATAATTTAAAAAAAAATTCCCACAACCATATGCTTTAATAAATTTAAACAAAGCAAAAACAATAAACAACCTTCAAACCATGTTGTTTACGCTTTATTTAATTATTCAATTTTCATTTATTTAACAAAAATTTAAATTAGGTATATTAATATATTACTTATTACCCATCTACTTATTTAACTTAAATGTAATTATGAAGTAGAATGACAAAAAAAACACAACAAGGATACATGTGCATTCTAGAAAAACAAACAAACAAACGAATATAGTTGAGATCATGAGTCAATTGAAGCTAAATCGATATGGAAAGCCTGAAAGCACTGGATGGCTGTTTCGTCTTATTGTGCGACTCCTCAGAAGTGCACATTCATTATCCCACCTCGCGATATTCGAATACAGGACCTATCAGTCTCACCGTTGGATGCAGATTCAGTGGTCTATCGGTTAACTGCTCTGGCGCGACACTGGTAGGTCGTGGGTTTGAATCTTGTGAGGTGGGATCGTGGATGCTCACTGCTGAAGTGTCCCATAATAGGACGAAACGGCCGTCCAGTGCTTCCAGGTTTTCAATGGTGGTCTAGTTTCAATTGGCTCATGCTTTCAACTGTGAAAATGAAATTGCTTATGTAGGTAATAACAAATGATTCACCAACAATTTGAAAGATGGGATGGATAAAGTGTTAAATATTCAAAGGTATCAACTAATTAATGAACAAAGAACATAATTCTAGTATCCCAGTTTAAGACGTCTTGTTAACAAGACGATTGAATGAAACTTTAAAAGAAAATATACATCATAAATCAACATCAGTTAGTCCGTATACTCACTTTTACGTTTCTGCGTCTACCTCAAATACAGAAGAAATCTATTGAAGAGTCTAATACTTCCTGCGAAACTTATCTACTCCAATCATACTATTGAAGAGGAGTTAAGTCTCATCTTAATCAGCATGAACGCTTATCTATAGAAATTTATTAACAAATAAATGACTCAGGGTATGTCAAAGATAGAGATAACTACAGTCTCTAAAAAGCCAGTATTCCTAAAATAACGATTTTTAAACGATATTCAATGAGTTAATAACCCAATGAGTAGGAAAATCTCTACAAAAGACAATTGGTGAATGGTTGATCGACTTCGTGGATTGGTTGGAGTTCGACATAAACACTATCGGATGCCGGCTCAGTGGTCTGTCGGTTAAGTTCTCTGGCGCGACACTGGTAGGTCGTGGGTTCGAATCTCGTGAGGTGGGATCGTGGATGCTCACTGCTGAGGAGTCCTACAATAGGGCGAAACGGCCTTGAAGCAGTGTTTCCAAGCTTTCCATAGTGGTCTAGCTTCAATTGACTCACGCTTTCGCCTATGAAAATCTACAAAAAACATTCTTTGTAACAAAACTACAATCCCTATTTTAAAACAAATCATTTATTAGAACCAGAATCGATGTTAGATCCTCCGAGTTCATCTCATCTATGTGCATTTATCAATTCAATTGATATCAAGTAGCGACTTGTATCATGTCCATATTTAGACAGATTCATCATCGTATTTCCAAATATCACCTTACCTAACTAATTAAAAGATAAGATCAATTAATAAATCACTTAATTGTCGTAAGACATTAAGTTGACATAAACAGAACATCACAAACCATCCACCACGTCCCTTTGAACGACAAGTACCTTATTCGATAAACCCTTTCTTTGTTATTGTTTCATAATTTAATTTTCACCTTCATCATGCTGGTTGTATAGCACTTTCTTAAGGATTGTTAACTTGTTACTATTACAATACTTCATATCAAACTTGTTATCCATTCCACTATTCTCAGTGTAAGATTTATATCAGGAAAAGATCATAGTCAAATGTTAGGCGTTTAAACTTGAGACAGTAGGTTCTGTGTTCAACTATCAAATACAGGATCGTGGATAATCACTGCTAAGCAGTCCCCTTACGAAGACAAAATAACTATTCAATGCTTCCTGGTTTTCATTGGTTTTATTAACTGATATCAGTCAATGATACAGATATGTAAGTTTAAGTGGCGAGACTATAATTTATGGACGACCTTTGAACGGGTCTTAAGTGACCCTGAGAAATGTTAGCCAATCAGTAAACAGTCAGCATAGAGTAAAAATATTTTATACAAAACCAAATAATTAAAGTGGATACACTTCTTTTATATGATCCAAAAACTTGTCGAGGTTAGAAAAAGATTCAAAAGTTCCAAAATCTTAATGCATAAGGTAGTGATAAACGTTCCTATTCTAGCAAACGTCTTCCTTCAACATATATTACATCGAAGGACAACATCACGGTAGTCTGCACAAGGTCCACAATTCATTAAATACTCGTAATTACAAATACAAGAAGTTCTTAGTAGTTTCATTTGTTGTAGCCGCTTAATTGTCAAGTCTTCTCTGAAATTCTCTTTGAACCGATCGTACATGAGTATCAGGTACTGAAATTGGCGCCGTGACATTGAAATCCCTCAGACGCTTCTGATTGGCTCGTTCATAAATTATAGTCTCGCCGTTTAAGTTGCGTAAGAATCGATAAACGAAACTTATCTTCGTATAATTCTTAGCAACATCAAGCATTAAGCATCCAAAATATCTAAAGTTTCGTTAGTTCTACTGAACAAATTGACAGATCTTATCAAAAAAGTGTTACAAATATATTTTTTAAAGAAATTTCGTTTAGTATATTAATCATTGAATCTCACTTATTCTGCTCAGGAACTCCATCAATATTTTCAATGTCTGAATTTTCCGATCGATCCAGATTACTGTCCATTTATTGAATACCTGAATAGAAAATAAATTTAAAAAAGGTGGTGTCATCTATTCAATGAAATCTATTTACAATATTAGTGAGACTATAATTTATGGACGACATTTAAGCGACGACAAAATGATCTTGAGAGTGTCTACCCTAATAACCAGGATCAAATGAGGGTTATAAAGTAGTGGTAGGAATTAGGATTAAGATTTACAGTTGATCGTTAAGAGTTAGGAATTAGATTTAATGTTTTCATCATGAACTGACATCATCTAAAATGCCAAAACTCTATTTAGTCAAATGGATGAATAAATTTCAAGCAAAAATTCGAGACCTATAATCTTATATTTGATTAGGGGGTTTTCTGTGGAGATTTTAAGTAATTTTTATATATACTTGAAATCATGAGTCAATTGAAGCTAGACTATCATGGAAAACCTGAAAGATCTGGACGGTCAAATTGTCCTATTGTGGGACTCCCCAGAAGTGCGCATCCACGATCCCGTCTCGTGAGATTCAAAACCAGGACCTCTCACTCTCGTGACAAAGCACTTAACCGATAGACCACTGAGCAGGCATCCAATGGTCTAACTTCAACCAATCCACGAAGTTGAACAACCGTTCACCAAATGTCTTCAGTGAGTTCCTATCTCACAACAGATGTGATTGAACTCCACTGGACCTACCGGCCTCGCTCCATAGCACTTGACCGATGCGCACTGCTGAGCAGTTCCACAATAGGACGAAATGGCCGTCCAGTGCTTTCAGGTTTCTAAGGTGATCTAGCTTCAATTGACTCATGATTTTAAGTATATATAAAAATTATATTTGATTAGTTTGTCCATAAATTATAGTCTCGCCACGATATTTTTAAAACAAAAGTGTTATTGACTTTTTTTTAACGAAATCTATAATAGTATTCCTATTCCCAACTATTCATGCAGAAACAGGAAGAAGTAGACTATTAAAAACGGATCATTGTTTATCGTATTAAATACATTGTACATACATTACGTGTGGTTAAATTATTCACTAAATAATTATGTATACTGTACCGTGCCAGATTTATGGATGTACGTCAGTATGTATGTGTTTAAATTTATCTTAGCCATCGTTCAATAGTTAAAAAACAGAGTTACTCTTTAATGATTGATCTTAGCTCAATACGAACGTCAAGACAGTCCTACTATACGGAGATGAAACGTGGAAAACTACTATAATTATCGTCAAGCAGGTACAAGTATTTATAAACAGTTGTCTACGCAAAATACTCAACATCCGTTGGCCGGATACCATCAGCAACAGTGTTTTATGGGAGAGGACAAACAAGATTCCAGCTAAACAGGAAATTAAGAAAAAAACGTTGGAAGTGGATCGGACATACATTAAGGAAATCACCAAACTGCATTACAAGGCAATCCCTAACTTGGAATGGTGAAGGGAAGAGGAAAAGAGGAAGGCCAAAGAACACATTACGTCGGGAAATAAAAGCAGATATGAAAATGATGAATGTTAACTGGAAAGAACTAGAAAGGAAGGCTCAGGACAGAGTTGGATGGAGAATACTGGTGAGCGGCCTATGCTCATCGACGAGGGATAACAGGCGTAAGTAAAGTACAAAGTAAAGTTAGCTCAGAAGAATTATTTAAAAATACTCATACTTTCTACTCTATGTTCATTTATTTGTTCTCACATATCCTCGAAATAATTTATATTTGAAATTGTATCATCATCATCATCATCATCATCATCATCATCATCATCATCATCATCATCATCATCATCATCATCATCATCATCATCATCATCATCATCATCATCATCATCATCATCATCATCATCATCATCATCATCATCATCATCATCATCATCATCATCATCATCATCATCATCATCATCATCATCATCATCATCATCATCATCATCATCATCATCATCATCATCATCATCATCATCATCATCATCATCATCATCATCATCATCATCATCATCATCATCATCATCATCATCATCATCATCATCATCATCATCATCATCATCATCATCATCATCATCATCATCATCATCATCATCATCATCATCATCATCATCATCATCATCATCATCATCATCATCATCATCATCATCATCATCATCATCATCATCATCATCATCATCATCATCATCATCATCATCATCATCATCATCATCATCATCATCATCATCATCATCATCATCATCATCATCATCATCATCATCATCATCATCATCATCATCATCATCATCATCATCATCATCATCATCATCATCATCATCATCATCATCATCATCATCATCATCATCATCATCATCATCATCATCATCATCATCATCATCATCATCATCATCATCATCATCATCATCATCATCATCATCATCATCATCATCATCATCATCATCATCATCATCATCATCATCATCATCATCATCATCATCATCATCATCATCATCATCATCATCATCATCATCATCATCATCATCATCATCATCATCATCATCATCATCATCATCATCATCATCATCATCATCATCATCATCATCATCATCATCATCATCATCATCATCATCATCATCATCATCATCATCATCATCATCATCATCATCATCATCATCATCATCATCATCATCATCATCATCATCATCATCATCATCATCATCATCATCATCATCATCATCATCATCATCATCATCATCATCATCATCATCATCATCATCATCATCATCATCAGATTAGGGATTACAAACAAATATTTAGTATGGTATCATAGAGGTTGTTGAATTTCATTGAAATCACGAAATAGTTCAGGTTAGACTATGTTCATACATGAAATCGAAGATCCTTATTTCATTTTCAGGGTTTCGGTGTCATTGGTTCTGAGAAGCATTATGCTAAAAATAATTAGTTGCAATATAATGAGAAGTGGCTAGAAATATGTGATTGTTACAAGCAACCAATAAATGAAATGATTTTGCGGACCCAAAACAAATAATCGTTAAACACTATTATATGCTATACAGGTGTCTTGTATTACATTTGAAGTACTCATGAGATGCGTAGCTACTATCATATATGGAATTAAATTAGAAAACCTTAAGTCTTTTAGTGACATTATTAATCTGCTGAATCTATGACACAAAAGTTCATATATTATTCTTTGACCAGTTCTTTAATTAAATAGAATCTTCTTTCAATGTTAATTGGTGAGTTGATGTTCAAGTCCCAAGTTTATTAACTCTATGATTAGTGATTTTGTCTACTTACCATTCTATTGTTGTTCAATATGGTTTAAAGTTCATGTTCAATGAAGTACTAGTACTAATTTCTATTAATCAATCATTGTGAAAATCTCAATCCTACAAGAGGTCAGACACAACGTTAGTAGCACGATGGTAACCGTTACACAAAGCAAGTCATATGTGAATATCATTTAGAGTAATAATCCATTCAAGAAAACAACTATATCTTAGTGATGGTAATATTTCGAGACCTTAATGTAGAGCTTCTCATTTATTGCATCTAAACACATAAAATCTAACACATCTTACTAATTAGCCATTATCTTTACTGAGTAATAAGTTTTAGTCATAATGTTGCTATAAGTTTTGTGTAACAATGTAAATTTGATCAATTTAAAAATTTTACATTAGTTTAGGATGGACTTGGAAGTTGCAAGAAATCTATTGGAAATGATTAGAAACAAAGGTTTGATACAATCTAATTGTTAAAGTTGAGATAAACATTCGAAACTGGAGAAAAAATACAAAATGTAATATGAAATATACCAGTTTATATAAGTGTATATTTACTGCTGAAAATCTTATCAAATACAGGTGATGTGATTAGAAATGTTTAGTGAAAAGGAAGTAATGTCTTGATGAACGCCTTTAAAATGATAAGGAGTATTTATGGGTTAAGTGCATATTTTCAACATTCAGAAAAACATCATCAGCTTCCATGTTTGACATGGTGGTCCTGCTTCAATTGATTCACGATCTCAAATATTAAAATTATTATAATATCCACAAACCCCCTTCTGATATTAATCAACATATGCTCACTAGTGACTGGCTTCAAGAGATATTTCTTCGAGTTCTTGTGAGAAGCAGTGACCAGTGGAGTTCAACCAGGTCTCTTGTGAGGTATCATTTCACTGAAGACATTGGTGAATGGTTGATCAACTTCGTGGATCGGTTGAAGTTAGACAATAATGCTGTTGGATGCCGTCTCAGTGGTCTAGAGATTAAATGCTCGCTTGCGAGATTAACAGGTTCTGTATTCGAATCTCACCGCGTCAGATCGTGGGTGCGCACTGCTTAGGAGTTCCACAATATAATGATTTGGCTTTCCATGGTGATCTATCTTCAATTGACTCATGATTTTTATTTTTTCTTACTAAAGTTAGAAACAGTATTTTAAACGCTAATCTACACATGTATCTCAATATCAGGAAGTTAACACTTTAGTATTTAGTTTTCCTATTACTTACTAATGAATCAAACTATTCAATATTATAGTTTAATTGTTTATCCTATTTTTCTATTTATCATTTGCGGAAATGATCTTATTCTCATTAATAGTAACAATATTTGTAATCTAAAGTCAGGTGTTTCCAGTTTGTTTGTTTTTCCTATAGCAACTAATATTTATGTTATATAGTTGACATCATGAGTTGATTGAAGCTAAACCATCATGGAAAACCTGGAAGCACTGGACGTCCATTTCGTTCTATTTTGAGGCTTCACAGTAGTGTTCATCCACAATAAGACGAAACGGTCTTCCAGTGCTTCCAAGTTTTCCATGGTGGTCTAGCTTCAATTGATTCATGATTTCAACTATATAAAAAAATTACTAAAATCTCCATAAAACCCCCCTTTTAATAATAATATTCATTTGTTACTAATCTGTACATATCAGGAAATATAATAGAAATAAACAACATCAACAACAACAACAGCAACATTGAAATAAACCATAGAAATGTATATTGACTTTCTAA